GTTGTGTGTTGTTTGTTTTATTTTCTTTTGGTAGGTTTAGGCAGAAATTTTAAAAACAGGAATTAGGAAGCAATGCAGGGTTCTGAGACCTATCTAAGAGGGTCTGGGCATCACCAGGGCATGGTGATGTGGTGCTGGGCCACTTAGGAATTGGGATTATGAGAGAGAGGTTTAGCATCAGAGCCTTCATATACTGCACAAAATGTGCTATTAAGGTACCCTAATTTGTGTTGAGTATCAAAGGTACTTGGGTTGTGGTTACTGACCTGAGTGGTGAGAGACGCCTATATAGTTCTTGTTTTCTGGGGAAAGAACACACAATGGTCCATCAACTGGTATTTTTTTTCTGGTACTAAATTTTAAGAGACTTTTATCGTATGGATTCTTGCGTCATTGAACAACACAATAGTGGCTTCAATAGTCCTTTTAAAACTAATAAAGAAATGCTTTTCATATAAAGGTTTCTTATATTGACTCCTGAAAACAAATTTAAATTGTTTCTTAGTAAAGACATTTTTATAGAAAGCTAACCTAACACAGTTCAGGTGCCAAAGTGTTTGGGAGTCTTCATTTGAAATACTGGTAGAATTTGGAAAACCAGAGGAAAATTTTGTTTTTTTCCCCTTAGTCAACTGTTACAAGAGGTTTCAACTAAAATTGATAATGTGTGGCTTTGCAGATATTCTTTTTGATTTGGAAAGAGCCATATGCTCTATGTTTTACAAGTTGTGTTTATTGTTTAAATATTATTAGCTGTTATTTAACAATATTAAAGGAAATATGTGCTAAATAGCAGACTGCTGGTAGCAAATTGAAATTCTGTTAACTAAACTTCAAAATCTTGCTTTGCACAGATGAGGGGACATCCCAGTTCTGCATGTACGACACTGCTCGGGTTTATATTTTTTTTAGACTAGAATTTGATCTTTCAGGCATCTGTTCCTATCTGCTTGGCTTTTTCCAGCGGCATTGTAACATAGCCTGAGTCGAAGGTACCTCTGCAGGTTGAGTTGAAGCAGGAGTGCCTAAGTGACCCCAGGGGAGATGGGGAAGCCTTCCCCCAAGAGGTGGTGCTGGAGCTGCTTCTTGCAAGAGGCTGAGAGATTGCTGGGAGGGCATTCCAGATGAAGGAAGCACAGAAGCAGAGGCTGTGAGGCCCAAGAGAGCATGGCATTTCCAGAGACTGAAGGGCCATTTGTTTTGTTGAAGTCTAAGGACTAAGGGCTGGGAGAATGGTAGCTGATGAAGCTGGAATGGTAGCCATGGACCAGACTATGAAGGATCTTGTGTGTCTTCTATTCGTTCATTTATTTAGCAAGTATTTATTGAACAACTACTATGTACCAGGCCCAGTTCTAGGCACTGGCATTCAGCAGTGAGCAAAACAGATAAAAATCACTGCTCATTTAGACCTTGCATCCTGGTGGGAGAAGGCAGATAATAAATAATAGTAAAACTATATGGATACACATAAAGAATATTAGTGGTAAGTGATAAGAAGAAAATTTGGCAAGAATGAGGGTGGGTGTGTACAATTTTAAGGTGGTCAAGAAAGGCCTCACTAATAAGGCGACACTAGAATGAAATGTGAAGCTGGTGATGAAGTGGGGTTTCCGTCTGAGAGTGCTCCGGACCGAGAAAATGTGCAGAAGCCCTAGGTTGGAATAGGTCTCTCTGCTCGAGAGTCTTAGGAGGAAAGCATGGCTGGAGTGCAGTGGAGGGATGAGCTTGGAGAAGAAAAGAGGGCCAGGTCCTGTGAGGTCTTGGTGGCCTCTGTGAGGACTTGGCTTTTATCTGAGTGACATGGGGAGTGATTGGAAAGCTTTGAGCAGAGTAAGGATGTAATACACTTAAGTTTTTAAAAGATGGCTTGGCTGTGTTGAGAGTGGAGGGCAAGAGCAGAGGGAAGGCAGGCAGCCAGTTGGGAGGATGTTGCAATAATTCAGGTGAGAGGGAAGGTGGCATGAACCAGGGGCATCACAGTGGGGGTCTGGAAGGTAGAGTGTATCCTGTAGGTGATGAGGAACCATGAGATACTTCTGACCAGTGAAGTGACATATGATTTGTGCGTTAAAAAGATGATTTGGGTGACTCTGAAAGCAGGACTGGAGAGCTGACACAAGCAGCTGGCTCAGTTTGCTGAGCTCCACTCACTAAGAACAAAGACAGACACCTTACAAGGAATGTAGCCTCAGGCCGAAGGGCCCCGTTGAGCCGGTTGTTAACCCTGGTGAACTTCTTGACAAGGGCTAGAAATTGCAAAGGTTTACATGTTAGGAAATTCCTTTGTAAACCTGTCAAGGAAGCAAAGTGAATGATTGTGATCAGGTTTATTCTCGAGGCGGCCTGCAAAGCAGGTAACCGCAGACCCTTACTGTCTGCAGGGCACTGTTGTGAGTGCGCTGTGGCTCAGTTAATCCTTACACAGCCCTAAGGGTGTGTCTCCATTTCACAGATGGAAACTGGGCTCAAGGAGGATAAGCGTTAGGCTGTGTTCCCTCTTACGGGTCTCCACCATGAAGCTTCCTTCTTCTTTTTTTTTTTTTTTTAAATATTTATTTATTTATTTATTAGGTTGCACCAGGTCTTAGTTGCAGCACACGGGCTCCTTAGTTGCGTCATGTGAACTCTTAGTTGCAGCATGCATGTGGGATCTAGTTCCCTGGCCAGGGATCGAACCCTGGCCCCCTGCATTGGGAGCGCAGAGTCTTATCCACTGCACCACCAGGGAGGTCCTGAAGCTTCCTTCTGAAGGGTCTCTCTGGGAGAGTCAGAATTATCCAGTCATCTCTGAAATTAAATGTAAAAAGGATGGCCTGTTTCCTTTGTGAAATGTAGTGATGATGACCTCACTGCTTGCTGGGTATTGTTTCAGTGCCCTGAGTTTCCAGTGACAGAAATTAGCCTAAGGAATATAAGTGGGTGTGAGTGGAATTGCAAGGAATTGAAATGTCCAGGGGAAGACATGTGCGTGTATGTGTGTGTGTGTGTGTGTATGTGTGTGTGCACGTGTGCATATGTGTTTGTTTGTGTGTATGTGTGTGTGCATATGGAATGATTTAGAAGGTATGGCAGACCTAGTGGCTCAGATGATGCCATCTAGTCACAAGGGCACATTCTCTGCACCTCTTTGGTCCCAGTGTTGACCTGGGTCTCTTCTGCTGTAGATGGCTTCCTCACCTGGCCAGGAGGGCTGCCCACATGCAGCTTCAGAGCAAAGCAGCTCTGTAGTACCCTGATTCCAAAGGAGGTGAAAGTGTCTTCCTGAGCAGCTTCAGCAAAAATGAGCAAGGAGGACTCTGACCTTGTTTCAGCCCCAGTGTGCATTCGTGGGACCGGGGGTGCAGGGCATTCCTTAGATCATAGACATATCATCCCAATCTCTGCCTTGATATTCACATGGCCCTCTCCCTGAGTGCTTGTCTCTGTCCAAATTTCCCCCCTTTTAAGGATACTGGTCGTTGGATTAGGGGCCCACCCTACTCCAGTATGTATGACCTCATTACGGTTTAGCTAATTACATCTGCAACAACCCTATTCCCAAATAAGATCACATTCTGAGGTGCTGGGGACTTCAGCGTATGAATGTGGGGAGTGGTGGTAGGGAGACACAATTCAACTCATAACAAATGACAGAAACACAGAACTGAAAATAAATAATAGAAGTTCCATTTTATTGAGCTCTTACTACATGGCAGAAGAGTCTCAGCTAGCCATTTTATTTCATCAACTCAGTGAATCCTTCTATCCCCATTTTATAGTGGAGGAAGTCAAAGCTAAGAGAGGTCTCTCAGTCTAAACTTGTCTCCTTGATTTCAGAGCCCATGCTTTCTCCTGTATCTCTTAATGCTATACCTATTCATAGAACATCAGGAAAGAGCCGTGCAAGTTCATTTGGTCTGAATTGAAATGCTAACACAGGTAATGAACGCACTGCAAAAAAAAGTTCATTGCAAAGTTCATTGCAAAGAAGCGATCTTTTTTTTTTTTAATATCTTTATTGGAGTGTAATTGCTTTACAATGGTGTGTTAGTTTCTGCTGTATAACAAAGTGAATCAGTTATACATATACATATGTTCCCATATCTCTTCCCTCTTGCGTCTCCCTCTCTCCCACCCTCCCTATCCCACCCCCAAAGAAGTGATCTTAAAGGACACACAGGTGACGGTCCCTAAGGGCCGTCCCAGAGGCCTGTGAGGTCTGCGCACTTGGGGCAGGGAATGCCAGTGAACTCTTGGCTTTGTCCACCAGGCCTCTCATCCCCAGTAAGCCGCTGCATTCCTACCAACGCCCAGCAACCAGCCAGAGCAGGCACTGTCTCCCTTTGTGCTTCCCTATCCTCTTTCTGAATTTAGATCAGGGTGAAGAGTAGAGAGAAGGAAATGAGCCAGAAAATAGAAAAGTAATACTTGGTAGAGTCGTCATATTTTAAAATTAATTTATAGGCAATGTCAGATAACCAGAGTTAAATCATTTTATCAGCAGGCTGCTCTAGGATTTAAAAATTGGCAGCCATCATTGTAAATCAGGTCTCAGGAGCCCCCAGGGAGTGGTCTCTAGGGAAGAATGTTGATATAGGGTGGGAAGAAATGTAAATACTTGATTAGCTGTGTCCTTTTCTTTCACACAAAACCCAAAGTATTTCTACCTCATGTTGAGTGATCACAGCAGGTTAAATAGTAACAGGAGGGAGAAAGCTATTCAAGTTCATGGTTAGCCTACTTTTAGTGCTTCTCTTCCTCCCTGGCAACCCTAGGAGACTGTTGCATGAGAGGTACTCACCGCAGGGGGGTATTCCTGGCTTGGGGTCCTTGGGGTGGGCTCAGCCTTCTTCTGCACAGACACTGTCAGCACGCTGGTCAGTGTCACATTTCCCCAGCTGGTCGGTGTCACGTTTCCACCATGTGCCTGGGAGCCGGAGCGCCCACAGTTTTACCACATTTATACTGGGAAGACCTTATTGGATTCAAGCCCTGCCTCTCACCTCTTGTTGTTGCAGCTCTTTGTCGAGGGCGTGTGGTGAGGGTCCCCGCGGGGAGTCTGGTGCGGGTGGTGGGCACGGAACTGGTCATCCCCTGCAACGTCAGCGACTACGACGGCCCGAGCGAGCAGAACTTTGACTGGAGCTTCTGGGCCTCGGGCAGCAGCTTCGTGGAGCTCGCCAGCACTTGGGAGGTGGGCTTCCCCGCCCAGCTGTACCGTGAGCGCCTGCAGAGGGGTGACATCGTGCTGCGGCGGACGGCCAACGATGCCGTGGAACTGCACATAAAGAACGTCCAGCCCTCAGACCAAGGCCACTACAAGTGTTCCACCCCCAGCACGGATGCCACCGTCCAGGGCAACTATGAGGATACAGTGCAAGTTAAAGGTACATCCTCACGGGGCGGGGTGGGGGGGGGGGGTGCTGCGCTGGGGGACCGGACTTTCCTCTGCCACTCAGCTGTGCGGGACTGTGCCAGAAACTTAAGTCCTCTGGGTCTCTGTTCCCACCTCTGTCCGATGGAGGAATAATGTCTTACCTGATTAAAGGCAGAGGATGGGCCAGGTGGCCTCTGAGGGCCCTTTCTCTTCACTCCATTATGATTGTGAGCCCTCCCGTGGCTGGTGAGTTGAGGCAGAGTGGTGTGTGATGGCGACTCCAGCTGTGAGCCAGGTTGCCTGCACTCAGTAAGTCCCATGGCTCGCTCTCCCACTTGTCAGCTCTGTGGCCGTGGGCATGTCCCACGCCTCAGCTTCCTCCTCTGGAAAACCTTCCGTAAATGTCAAGGTGAGTTAGAACATGTAAAGCCTCAGAGCAATGCCATAGTAAGCACTCAGTCAGGTTAGGGACGAGAAGGTGACGGTCATGATGACACTGATGTTCAGGTTTATGGGACTAACAGATACTTAAAAGCTCATGTCTTTCTTTGTGCCCTTCATGATTTAAGTACCTGTTTGTTCTAGAAGTTGTAGGGGGTCATATGTGGAGGAAGAATGATGTGGTCACCGCAACCTTATTGGCCTGGCTGTGCAAGTAATCACACCTTATCTATCTGGAATGTTTGGGTTTGTTTTTTCATTTTCCAAGTTCTGTTTGATTAACTCACATATTCAGTTCTCAACCCAATGAAGACGAGCGCAGGGTATTTCCCTAATTTACACATGAGGAGATGGAAGAGCATAGGTTAATGACTTGCCTAAAATCACACAGCTAATTAGTAAATGGGCAAGAGCAAACAATTTTAATTTGGGCTAAAATAGAAACATTATTAGTGTTGTTATTATTATGACTTAAGTACGCATTTATGTGTATCCTGCCTTCTTCCAAAAAGAATTATATCAGAGTAGTACTGTAATTAATGATCAGGAAAGCAGAAGATGTACCTGATGATATATAAAGAAGGGGTTGATTCAGGCATTCATTCCTTCTGTAATGATTTATGGAGTGCTGCCATATTGTCCAGATACTGTTCCCCCATTAGACTCATGAAGGAATAAAACAGCCATGCCCATTATGCAGGTATTAAAATGTCCAATCTACCTCCTCCATTACCTCTTCTCCTTCCTCTACAAAATCCAAATATGTTTCTGAGAAAAAAGTCCCATAAGACATTCTTGCGTTGGAGTTAAATAATGCATTGCTTTTGTAGTCATCACACACACACACACACACACACACACGGTACACCTCCACCAGGTCAGATGCACCCTCCTCTCCATGTGTAATTCTCATCTTGAGGAGCTGGAGGCAGCAGGGGGAACCTCCCCCCCCCCCCCCCCCCTTTCTGTTTGTTCTCCAGTCTTTGAAAGGCAGGAGTAAGGAGAGGCTTTCCTGGGGTCAGGAAAGCAGGTGGATGGCCATGAAAGAGACTGGCTGGCTGCCCCAGTGGAGCCTCTCGTGGCTGCCATGCATGGTCTAGTGTCTCTCTGGTCTTCAGCTTCATGGGTCTTCAAACTATCCATCCATGGCATCAGGGATAACTGGTCTTGGGAACTGAGTCATGTTAGCTGGACTCACCGACTGATGTGTATAGTAGAAGGTCATTATATTCATTTGCAATAGAGATAGGTCTTTGTGATTTGTCCTTCTAAACATGTAGCAGTTTTTTTCTGTTACTTAGAGTAGTCCCTTCTCAAGGACACTGAATTCATTTCTGAGTGTGGGATGGCAGGAAAACCCAGGAGATGGTGCACAGTGGTGTTTGGGGATTCTCTCGGCCAGCCCGTAGGCAGTCCCTGCCCTTTGGTAGGGGCCTCCTCGCTGTTTACTTCACGTGTGGCTTCCCCTCCTCAAGAGAGCAGTCACCGACACTTCCCTGATCTCTGGCCCCCTTTTTCTAGACTATGGAAGAGCCCAGCTTTTCCCCAGTGGGTCCTAATAGTTAAATAGCTGAGGCGTCAGTTTTCCTCTCTGGGTTCCTACCCTGCAGATACCCTCTGCTCACCCTAGTCATTCTTAGACATTTCCCAGGCCTCAAGGCACAGGAAGCTCTCCCGTGCTTTCGTGCTTTGCGGATTACACTGCCTTAACCCCTAGAAGATCCCCCAGGTTCTCTACTCCAGCCTGTGTCCTAACAAAGGAGTGTTGGACAGTAGTGGCTGGTTATTTGATTGTGATTGCTGAGTGCCAAGCACTGTCCTGGGCACCTTCCCTTTTAACTGGTTTAATTCTCAGTCAACTTCCGGAGATAGGTCTCGTTGTCATCAATGTTTAGAGTTGAGGAAAACGAGGCACGGAGGGGTAAAATGACTTGCCTAAGGGTGGCAGAAGTAGAACTCCAAGGCACAGCTCCCAAAAGGGAATTTGCACCACCCAGTTCTAGCCAGGGGTCTTATTAGTGTCTCCTCTTTTTTCAAGTCAGAATGTTGAGATCATAGATGAAGCGCAATGGGCAGCCGTGCCCATCTGGGCTTTAGAACAGGGGAGGGGAGGAGGAAATTGTGCCGCAAGCCCCGGACGGTGCTGGGCACTTGCGCAGTGGCTGGGGTGGAGGTGTGCTGACGGCTCCGCTTTCTCCCTGCAGTGCTGCCGGATGCTCTGCGCGTGGCCGCCGGCCCGCAGCCCTCCCCGGGCCCCAGCCTGCGCGAGGGCGAGCCCTTCGAGCTGCGCTGCTCGGCCTCCACCGCGTCGCCGCTGCACACGCACCTGGCGCTGCTTTGGGAGGTGTGGCGCGGCCCCGCCCGCCGGAGCATCCTCTCCCTGACCCACGAGGGCAGGTTGCGGCCCGGCCCCGGCTACGAGCAGCGCTACCGCAGTGGGGACGTGCGCCTGGACACCGTGGGGAGCGACGGGTACCGCCTCTCCGTGTCCAGGGCCCTGGCCTCCGACCAGGGTTCCTACCGGTGCATCGTCAGCGAGTGGATCGGAGAGCAGGGTAACTGGCAAGAAATTCAAGAAAAAGCCGTGGATGTGGCCACCGTGGTGATCCAGCCAACAGGTGAGCTTCTGGGAATTGCATGTTTTAGACTATATATTATTCAGGGCAATGTGGTGTAAAGAACTTGGCCGGGAGCCTTTTTCTTCTCTGACAAGATTTCTGCTCCTCCTGGGAGGCCTCGCGTTGACGGGTGAGGGAGTAGGGTGGTGTTAATGGTTTGGGGAGGATGCATTTGTTTTGTGCCAAATGCCGAGACCCCTGGGAAGCTGCAGGTTGCATAAGATACTATGAGAATTTTGTGACTGAAAGATTAAGACCTTTTAAGTGCCAGGAGAGGTCCGGCCTGGCGGTCAGAGGGGCTTTGGGGTGGAGCTGCCCCCAGCCCGCTCCCTTGGTTTCATTTTGTTTGGTGTTTCCTAAATCTCCGGATCTGCCCTTCCCCACAGCTGTCGGGGACGTGTCTGGCTCATCCCCAAACCTCTCGTCTGACTTGGGTCCTCTAGGCCTGCCTTTCAGGTCCCGTCAGATGTGACATCCCCTTGTAGGTGAGGGATTCCCTAGGGCTGGGCCTCTTCTTATGTCCTCTATGCCACATACCCCAGAAGCATTCAGCCCTGGGGTCTATACGCAAGAAGTTTTTGTCACCTGTGAACCAGCCTTTTCAAAAACAACGAACAAAACCCTTCTTACTCCTGCTAGAGAAGTAATTAAGGAAATGCAAAATACATTTTCAAAAACCCATAAAAATAAAAGAAAAACAAATAGGAAACAAAAACAGGCCATTTTTAACTCAGTTTCCAACAGGCATCAGTAGAGAACCTACCGTGTGCTCAGTTCTGTCCTTGGCTCTGGGGTCAGAGATGCTTAAGGGTCGTTCCCAGGCCTCACGGAGCTTCTGGCTTGGCAGAGAGAAAGTGTAAAGAGGCCCATCTCAGGGTGATGTCACTAATGTGGATGGTTGGATAGACTTGGTTTGCTGAGAGTCTGACATCTCCAGATCTCAGAGTACTCTGCTGCTGTTGCTGCTGCCTCCTGTTTTGTAAACTGGGAAGACCTTGGCTGGACTCATTTCCTGACTATAAACAAGAGTGTGTGGTCGCTCTGTTGCTGAGATTGGAAGGAAAGCAGGAAACGATACACACGGGGACTGTTTTTCCTCTGCAAGCTGCATTGTCCTGAGCACTCTACCCTGCGTTTACACCACAACACAGGAGCTGGATTTGGGAAAAGCAGCACTGACTGGCCGCTGAGTGACCGTGGCCGTCAGTGAGGTTGGAGGTGCTCTTGCCGACAAGAGGGGCTGCAGAAATCACTTTCCAGATGGATTCAGGTCACCTGCCTTTTCGGAAGTGATCTGCCAGGAATCTGACCTAAGAAACCACGGATATTCAGCTTGCATCAAACAACTGCTTTAACGGGGCAGGAGGGTTAAGAATTTCAGCTTGGCAGCGAATTATCTTTTCATACAAGAATTTCAGTTGTAAAGGTTTTTTTTTTTTTTTTTTTTTAAATTTCAAACAAGCCACAAAACCCAGAGTATAGTTATAAGACTTGAACACCCTGAGTCTATTAGGCAGGCAGTAGCATCTGGCTCTCACCTGAGCCTGAGGGCTCGTAGCTTTTTGTGCCATGGGCGTCTTTGACAGTCCTTTGAAGCTCACAAACCCTTTCTCAGAGTTAATGTGTTTTAATTCATAAAATACATGTGGAGGATGACAAAGGAAAACAATTACATTGAATAGTAATCAAAATATTTTAAGACAAATTTGTTATATAATAATATAGTGTTTTATTATTGCATTAAATAACAAGATATAGTGGCAGGCCTAACAGCTACTGTAATTTCTGATAAGTGATGAATATAAATGATATTTTAAGATATCTGCAGCAATTGTAAGGTGATATGAAAATATCTGTGATTTCTATTGGGAACAAGGTCCCAGGGACAGATAATACTACACTGGTTTGTTGCTTAGTTTCATAATGAGAGGAGCTGCTATATTTCACGTAGAGGTTAGTAAAACAAAGACAATTTGTTTTTCCCATCCATGTCACAGATTCCTTAAATTCTCTTTGTGGACCCCAGATTAAGAACCACCACACTGCAGTGATGGTCTTTCTCTCATTTTCAGCACCTGCATTCTCCATAGCTAGCTTTTTTTTTTTTTTAATTAAAGTGTAGTTGATTTACAATATTATGTTAGTTTCAAGTGTACAACTTAGTGATTCAATAGTTTTATAGATTTTACTCCATTAAAGTTATAAAACATTGGCTATATTTCCCTTGCTGTGTATTACATCCTGTATCTTATTTATTTCATACTTAGTAGTTGTACCTCTTGATCCCCTTCCTCTATCTTGCCCCACCCCCTCCCCCTCTCTCCACTGGTAACCACTAATTTGTTCTCTATATCTGTGAGTCTGTTTTTCTTCTGTTATATTGATTCGTTTGTTTCATTTTTTAGATTCCACATATAAGTGAAAACATGCACTATTTGTCTTTTTCTGTCTGACTTCCTTCACTAAGGATAATACCCTACAGGTTTTGTTGCAAATGGCTAAATTTCATTCTTTTTTGCAGCTGAGTAATAATCCATTGTATATGTACACCACATCTTCTTTATCCATTCATCTGTTGATGGACACTTAGGTTGCTTCCATATCTTGGCTATTGTAAATAGTGCTGCTACGAATGTTGTCCATAGGTAGCTTCTTAAGTATTCTTATTGCATTGTTATGATAAATGGCACAAAGCTACTTAAATGGTGGGGCTGTAGGTCATGTAGGTGGCAGTAAACCGCCCTATATTAGGAGTGGTCTGGTTGATGCAGATGTTGGTGTCTAATTTATAGGTTCAGTTATATCCAGTAGGAGAAAGCCTGCATCACTACAGGCTTAGTCTGAGGTCCCCTCTTGCATTACGAGTCCTTAGAACGGATTCTTTTCTTCCCTTCACCGTGTTTCATCCTGTCCCAGCAGTGAACCCTCCAATCCCATAGAACATGTGACAACTATGCTTAGTGATGTGACAAGATATTTAGCCACTTGCAGGGAAAAAAAATTAGAAAGTGAACTATACTGCTAAAGAGATGGTTCTGCCGGTATTTCTAAATGTAAGAATCTGTTTTCTCCATGCATACTGTCCGCAGCTGCATATTGCCCACTTCTTTCCTCAGCTGGCTCCCTCCTGAGCCTTCTTTTATCGCCAGTAGCGGTGGCCGGCACAGAGGGACTCTGGCAGTATTCTGGGATCTCTGACCACGGTTTGTACGTGGGGAGGTTCAAACCGCAGCACAGGCTCAGGGCAGCAGTTTCCATACTGACTCCTCTCAAAAGATATCTCTTATTATTTCTGGCTCGTTTAAAGGTTGAAGGAGGAGGAGGAAGTTGGAAGAAGGTGGGTGGAGGTGAGAAATTAGACTTCAAATTCCTTTTTCTAATACTATGCCCACCTCATTTTCTGTCTTCATCAAGGCAGATGTTGAACTTGGCCTGAAACACTTGTTGGAAATATCATCAGCCTTTGGAAATATTTATATGAAAGTCATTTACTCCAAAGGGCATGGCTTTTGGGGTTGCGTCTTTTCTGAACTGAGTGACAGCGTTTGTCGCTGAGCTGACCCAGGACCGCAGCTCGTGCTGAGTGACTCCTGCTAGCAGACCAGGACCGTGCTGTGCGTCCACTTGAATCCCCTGGGAGGTGTCAGCTATTTATCATCTAAGCAGTTGTTCCTAGAGCGTTAGCACGTGTTGCATGTTTTTCTACTCTGATTACAGATGTTCAACTTCTTTGCAAAAAAATCCCTTGAATAAACTAAAATGTTTCCATGTAAAAAGCTTTGACAGGGGAATGCTGAAACCACATCTGCCTGGAGACCGTGACACCAAATCCTTCAGTGCTTCGTCTAAATATAGTCTCCTTTTAATTATCCACACAGAGAGGGCAGTGGCATGGGTAATCCAGAAATCATTGCGGTTTGGTTTTAGAATATATGCTTTATTCCTGACTTTAAGGCGGGTGTGTGGAACAGAATAAATGATGCTCTAAGTGCATTCATTGCCTTTGGAAGACTTGACTCGTTAGGCATATTGTCTTGGTTTCACTTTCCCAGTCCTTCTGTTTAGGGTCCTCCCTGCCCCCTTTTACCCAGAAGAAAGTTTCACCCTCACTTCCTACCCTCCAGCTCCTGGCCCCCAACTGATAATATGTACCGGCCAGAGCTGAGCTGTCTTTTCTCTGAAAGTCACCCAAGGCCTGTCGTGCATATGGAGAAAGTATAATTTTAGTCTTGTAATGTTCAGCAGACTTGTTTTCAAATGATAGTGTACGTGATAACAGTGTAACACTTAAGAGCAGAGTCCCTAGAGGCAGACAGCCGGGCTTTGAATCTTAGCTCTGTCACATATTGGCTGTGGCACCTTGGGCACGTTATTTAACTTCTCTGTGCTTCAACTGCCTTATCAGTAAAATGGAGATGATAATTGTACTACCTTGTAGGGTTGTTTTGAAGATGAAATTTATAAAGCACTCAGAAGAGTGCCTGGCATATAGTAAGCATATATATATAAGTGCTTGCTGCTGTTATTGTTTTAATGAAAGAAAAAGAAATATGGTATGTTTCATTCATTTATTCAGTACATTTCTCAAGCACTTAAAGCTGTACAAAGCCTTCTAACTTGAATGTTGCAAATAAGAAGGTAAAAGGAGATGATCTAAGGGGACGGGGTTGGAAGCAGCAAATACGATCGAGATTATCTAGATGTCCTTGTTTTTAATTTTCCAGTTCTTCGAGCCGCTGTGGCCAGGAATGTGTCTGTGGCTGAAGGAAAGGAGCTGGACCTGACCTGCAACATTACAACGGACCGAGCGGACGACGTCCGACCCGCGGTGACATGGTACTTCAGCA